TGTAGCATGCCACTAGAGACTCCTTTTATGGAACCCAGTCCTTCAGTCAGTTCTGAAGCCACACCATTGTCTATCATACATCTCACATCTTTCTATCTGGTCCTCAGCAAACAAAGTCACTCGACAAACATTTATTTATATGGACTATATTCTAAGCACCTTACAAAGCACTAAGAATACCAAGAAAAGTAAAAATAGTCCCTTCCCTCAAGGAGCTTACATTATAATGAGAAAAATACCTTGCAAATAATTAGGTATATGAGACATACACAGAATAAATCACAGGTAATCTGAATGAGGGAAAGCATTAGTAGCTGGGGGAGGGGGGAGACTAGGAAAGGCCCTCTGCAGAAGCAAAGGTGAGGGGGCAAAGCATTCCAGGTGTGGGAGGCAGCTAGTACACAGAGATGGGTTGTTATGTTCAAGAAACAGCAAATAGGCTAGCATAGCTAGACTGTGGAGTGTGTAAGAGAGAATAAAATATTAAAAAGACTGGTAAGGCAGAAAGAGCTTTAAATAACAGTCAACTTTATTTTGGATCCAAGATGAGATGGAGAGTCACCTGAACTCATCAAATAAGAGAGTAGAAAGGTCAGATCTCTACTGTATCGTGTGTGAGTAAACATAATTTTTTTTCAGGTAACACTTTTAAAAAGTTAATCTGTATCTTCTACCCCCTCCCCATTAAGCACATTTTTAAGAAAAACCAAATACTTCAATATATAATTCCTACATTGTCCATGTCCAAAAATGGATATGTCTTTCTACATTTTGAGTCCATCACCTCTCTATTAGGAAGTGAGTGATGTGTTTCACCTTCGTTCTTTTAGACTTGTGGTTTATCATTGCATTGATCAGAGATCTAAAGCCTTTCAAAGATATTTTTCTCCATAATGGTATTATAATTATAGAAATTGTTCTCCTACTCTGCTTCACTCTGCATCAGTTCATAAAGGTAGGTCTTCCTGATTTCCTCTGAAATTATCTAGTCCATCATTTATTATGTCATAACAACATTCCATTCCATTCACATGCCGTAATTTGTTTAGCCATTCCAAAATAGGAAGTTTCTCCCTTAGTTTCCAATTTTTTGTTATGACGAAAAGAGCTGCTATAAATATTTTTATACATATAATTCCTTTTGTGTTTGATTTAGAGGCAGAAGTATATGATAGTAGTTTCATAGCTAGAAAGGGTTTGCACAATTTGGTAACTTTCTGGGCATAATTCCAAACTGCTTTCCAGAATGTCTACACCAATCCACAACTCTATTGCACTAGTTTGCCTATTTCCCCAAAGCCCCTCTGATATTCATTATTTTCCTCTTATTTTCTTTGCCTGTCTGAGATACGTGAGGTGGAATCACAAAGTAGCTTTAATTTGTATTTCTCTAATTATTAGTGACTTAGAGCATTTTTTCCATATGATTATTGATAACTTGGATTTCTTCCTTTGAAAATTACCTATTCACATCCTTAGACCATTTATCTAGTGGGGAATTAATTTTATAGTACTATATTTAGAAAAATCATGTTGTCAGCTTAGTAGAGGATGAATTGGAGTATAGAGAGACTGGAGATAAGGAGACCAGTTAGAAGGCTATTGCAATTGTCCAGCAAAGAGGTGATAGGGACTAAACTAGAGTGACGATTGTGTGAATGGAGAGAAGGGGATGTATAAAAGAGACTGTGAAGGTAGAATCGATGAGAATTAATATTGGGTTGGATTATGTGAAGTTAATGACAGTGAGAAGTTAAAATAACACTAAGGCCTGGGTTGCTGAAAGAATGGTGGTATCCTCAATGGAAACAGGGAAGTTTAGAAAAGGAGAAGGTTTGGGTGGAAAGATGTGCTTTCTCTTTTGGATATATTATGTTTGAGTTGCTTAGGAGCCATTCACTTTGAGATTTCCAAAAGGCTGCTGGTATTATGTGACTGAGATTCAAAGGCAAGCTAGGGGCTAGATATGTAGATCTTGGGATGATAATTGAGTACATAGGACCTGATGAGATCATCAAGTGATAAAGTATAGAGTGAAAAGAGAAGAGGACCCAGGACAGAGACTTGGGAGATACCTACAGTGTGACATGAATAGTGAACCAGCAAAGAAAACTGAGAAGTCAGATGAAGAGGAGAATCAGAAGACAGTAGTGCCACAGAAACGTAGAATGGAGAAAGAAAAGGTGAACAACAGTGTCAAATAATGCTGAGGAGTCAAGGAAGATGAAGATTGAGAAAGGACCTTTAGATTAGACAATTAAGTGATCATCAGTACTTTGGACAGTTTCATTTGAATGATGAGGTCAGAAGCCAAATTACAGGATGTTTAGAAGAAAATGAGAGGAGAAGTGGAGGCACCAAATATAAATGACTTTTTTAAGGAGTGTAAGGCCATAAAGAGGAGGCGATATAGGTCAATAGCTATGTGGAAATGGTAGAATCAAGTTACGGTTTACAGTATCATGAGAGACCTTATTAAATATCTTGCTAAAATCTGGGTATACTATGTCTAGTAACCATATTAAAAAAAAAAAAAGAGAGAGAGAGAGGTGAGGTTAGCCTGACATGACTTGTTCTTGATGAGCCCATGCTGATTTCAATGATCATTTCCTTTTCTAAGTACTCACAAAATTTCTTCCTAATAACATATTCTAGAATTTCACCAGGAATCATGCACTTTCCTGTTCTGGGAAAATCAGGACCACATTTGCCTATCTCCAATTCCCTGGCAGATCTCCTGTTTTACAATTTTTTTTAAAAATTATCAACAGAGACTCTGGAATTTATTTCAGTACCCTGAGTTATTTCAGTTCCTCCAGATCTGGCATCTTGAATTCATTAAGGGCAGCTAAGATGCACTCTTGCTCATCTTCACCTTATGTCCCATGTATCTTGGCTTTCAACTCCTCATTAACATTTTTGTTCTTCTCAGGCTGAATATCATTCTCCTTGATAGAGAAAATAGAAGCAACTTATGAGTTGAGTAATGTGCCTCTTTTTTATCATGCATTATTATCTCATCAAATTAGATAATCTTTGTAAAGTGCTTAGCAGAGTAACTGGCACATAGTAGGTACCATAGTATGGTTATTCCCTTCCTTTCCTTTTATCCAGCTTTAGCTGTGGTTCTCTTCCCTTGGGTTATTCTTTTGGCCCCAAACATAGCTTTTAAAATCTCTTTTTTTTTGTTGTCTTTGTTATTCTTTGCAAGACTCAGTTCATTTATTCCTCCTTAGTTACCTGATCTTACCATAAAATCCAACTCTAATGACTCACCGTCTTTCAGAGGTGACCCTGAGTTCTGGACTTCTATACTAACAGATCTCAAGCTCTGGCAAGTCCTTGTACAGGCTGATGATTGACAAAGTGTCTATAGTCTGAAAATAGATTAAAAAAGGCTCAAGATATAAAAAAACTGAAGTACCACTAGGTGATGAACATTTTTAGCTATAGTAACTTAGGAATCTATCTACAAAGTCACAAATTGAATTGTAACATGCATTAATGAAGGCAGTACCTATACTGGCTGGCCTCCCCTAGTTTTATTCAGTCATTTCAGTCATGTCTGACTCTTCATGACACCATTGGAGTTTTCTTGGCAAAAATACCAGAGTGGTTTGACATTTCCTTTTCTAGCTCACTTTACAGATGAGGAAATTGAGGCAAACAGGATTAAGGGACTTGCCTACGGTCACACATCTTGTAAGTGTCTGAGGCCAGATTTGAATTCTGGAAGATGAGTCTTACTGACTCCAGGCCCCGCTCTTTCCACTGCTCCACCTAGCTGCCCCCCAAAAAAATTATTTTAAGGTCCAACCAAATAAGACTACTCTCTGTCCAATGAAATGGTCTTTCCCAGTTCCATACCTTTGCCCAGGCCATCCTCCAAGAATAAAATGGAGTCACCCCCTCTTCTGTCTCCTGTTTTTGTCATTGCTTTCTTCCTTCAAGGTCCAACTCAGATTCACCTCCCCCGTGATAAATTTCTTGCCCTGTCATAGTAAAAGCGATGTAACTCTCAGCAAATTTCTAAAATACCTCTCCTTGGTACTAATCTTTCTCTCCCTTGAATTAAAGTTATTTGTATAGGATCTAAAGTCACTAAACCTCTCTAGCCTCAGTTTCCTTGTCTCTAAAATAGCCATAATAATAGTACCTACTTCATAGGGTTGTTGTGAGGATGAAATGAGGTAATATGTAAAATTCCATGCAAACCTTAAAGCTCTCTTAAATGCTAGCTACTATTTTTAGGATAAGAGATCCAGAACTGGAAAGGGCCTCAGAGGCTCCCATTGTCTTCTAAATTCATTGATATCAGGATGTGTCTTTTCCATCTTTGTATTCCCAGTGCTTAGTACATTGCCTTGTTCATCATAGTACGTGCTTAATAAATATCTGTTGAATTTTGAAGAATTATACTTATTATGTATTTATTACATAGTTATTGAATGTGTACCTCATATTTCCTTTGATGAGCAGTAAGTTTCATGAAGGTAGGGATATTGCCTTGTCTTTCTATCTACTACAAATCCTTGCACAGTGTCTTGCACAAAGTAGGCTATTAATAAACAGTTCTTCAATCAACAAGAATTTACTGAGGACATACTAAACAAGTCACTGTGCTAGGAGACACAAAAATGAAAGTTCCTGGTCCTCAAGAACCTACATTCCAACGTACACAGAAGTATGTATGAAAAAGTAGATAAAAGGCAATGGGGGAGAGAGAGCCGAACATCTAGAGAGAGTTGGATATTCTTTATATTCTTCCGCCATAGGAATTCCTTTTGGTGAAGGTGAGGAGGCAATGAATACGGGATAGATTGTGTAGAGGCAAGTGGAAAGTGTCCTGAGTGACGTTCAGTAAGCAGGCCTGAAATAAATCTAGAAAGTGTTCCCAAGAACATTCAGCCTTCCCTAAAATAGGGGGAAACACTGTTATTGTCCCTTGTCTCCAAAGCAAAGCCGAAGACAGACTCCTCCTCTCCACCCATCTTCGATGGCTCCGCCTCCTTTGCCTCTTAACCTTTAGCTGGGAGACTTCTGAATCGTTCCAAGGACATCTTTGCAACGTTGCCTAGTCACAACTGAGGCAGTAAGTAGAATTACTGTCCTTGTATAAACTAGACTGCTTGGTAGTGCAAGTTGATGGGTTGGGTGTTGGGGGTTTTTTTTTGTTTGGGGGTACCCCCCTCCTTCCTGCTCCAGTCCCCCTCCCTCCTTTCCACCCACTCCACCCTCACGCCGCCCCCCCATCCCATCCCCAGCTTTGGCTCCTTTCTGTGTCCCTCTGTCCCTCCTCCTCCCCCCTCCTCCTGCCTTTCTCCAACTTGTCTGTATTTGGAGCTCCCGGAAGCTGGCGGCGACTCTCTCTGGGAGCCTGAGTGACTGACACCGACGCTTACTGGGGAGGGGGAAGGGGACGGGGAGGAGGGAGCAGGAGCAGGAGGAGGAGCGGCCAGCGGGAGGAGGGGAGGAGGGAAAGAGGAGGAGGGAAAGAGGAGGAGGGGGGAATTGAGCACCCGATCGCGCATTTTCATTGCAGAGGAAAAGACTCCAGGTCATCAAAACAGGTAATTTAAGCACCAGCCAGGCTTGGAAAAGGAGGGGGTGGGGAACGGGGGGGAGGGAGGAGAAGGGAGATAGGGGTAGGGGTAGCAGCGTGGGCGGTGGCCGGAATGCCCGCGAACCGCCCTCTTTGGAAGTTCGGTCGAAAGGGTGGGGTTGGGGAAGGGGCTGCGAGGGAGGATTGTAAGGGGAATAATGGGACCTCAGCCTGGACTGGAGCCTTGTGTATGCGCACGCGTGTGTGCACGTGTGTTTATGTGTGCGATTGTATGTGTGCGCGTGGATATGTGTGTGTGCTCGCGTGCAGAGGGGCCCTTCGTGGTGAGAAGACATTTTGGTTGGAGGGGTGCAGAGAAGGTGAACAAATAGGGCAGGAAGGAGAAGGGGGGCAGTGGGCCTTGGTTGTGTGGTCAGGTCAGCCCTGGGTCCGAGCGATGATGCGGACAGAGCAGGGATTTGCAGGCTGGATTGGGAGGGGGTGTGTGTGGAGGAAGTGGGCGCCCTAGGGTACATCGCAAAACGTCCGCTTTCTTTATCTGGGTCACCTCCTCTTTGCTTCCCCGGCATCTCCATGCCCTTCCCGCCCACCCCTAACACACACGCACGCACACGCACTCGCGCTAGGCGAGTTTTTGAAGGGCCGGGGGCGGAGAACACTTAGGGCTAGGGTAAGAGATGCGTTGCGTTTTGGGGCCTACTGGCTTTCTTGGCTTATCTTTTTAACTTTTAACTTTACGGGGGTTCTCACATGCAATGCTTGGAGCTTGATAAGGAATAACAAAATCCGCTGAATAAATCTGAGGAGAGAAGAGTAACAGCAAGCCCCCTCTGAGAGAGGAGATAACTCGGGGGTTGGCTTGTCATCCAAACAGCACTTGAGATGACTCACTTTACAAAAATTGAAGAAAGGAGAGCATTTGTGGCGTTGAAGAAAAGATAGGAAACAACAGAATGCCACTGGATCTCTGGATACTCTTGGTACAGAGATGCTGATGTTAAAGGAGCAACCTCTCATACCATAGGCACTGTCTTATGTGGTCCTTTCTTCTTATAGAATGTCATAATAGCTGGGTACAAACACCACTATTAACAGATAAACATCACCAGTAAAGTATTATAAACATGAACTATGATTAGAATCATAGCTCCAAAGAGAAATGAGTCCTGTTACTTCCACAAAATGGAGTGTATGTGGTAGTATAATTATAGGGGTTATGAATCAGTAGTTGACCAGAACTGTTTGTCATGTCCCTATATGAATAAAACGAATCACCTTGTCTTTTGTGGTTATATTAAGGTCTTCAGGTTGGGGGGGAGCTAATTTGGCATTCATTTTTTTTTTGAAATCATATCTTGGTTAATGTTGAGAATCTAGTAGGAAGGTTTATGTTCTTTTGGTTGTTAGATCCTAGTAGGGATGGGGATAGAGTTGACTTCCTGTAGATTTCTTGCATCCTTTTAAAGTAATGTCAAGGGAGGATAATCCCCCACCCTCTGAAACCAAAACAACCTACTTAAGTAGACTTCTGTATTTCATGTTAATAGTTTTAAAGAAACAGAAGAAAAGGAAATTTTTCTGTGAGGAATCAGAGGAAAGTGAGCTGGCTTTGATTGACTATATTCAGTTCACTGATCTCAGAGTAAAATCATTAGTGATATATGGTAGCATTATTGTTAAATATTACTGAACACTCATCAGATTAGACCCTCAAGTTTTAAAAGTAGGTTTCTCCCAGTTCCTCAGTTGAGTATACCCAAGGCATTAGGTTAAATATATTAAAAAGTTGTATTAAGTGGTTTAAGGCTCTGTGGATTTTAATGAGAGTTTTAATGGCCAAAACCAGTGCCTTACTTTCCTATTGATTTGAATATTTATGGCATGTTTCTCAGCTAATTCACTCCCATTAAAGCAAAAATAAAAAATATCAGACTCAAGACCTATGGTGACCATTCCATTTGCATTCTTAATCAACAGGCATTTATTATATACCTGTTCTGTGCCTGACATTCAGGACATAGAGTTGAAAGTTAAACATTCCCTGATCTTGAGGAATGTACAACTAGTAAGGAGAAAAACCATAAATACGTGTAGAATACATACAAAATGTACTTATAGAATAAATAACAAATCAGTACAAATTAGAGAGGGAAGGCACTAATTTTGGGAAATCTGGAATGGCTTGGTGGAGACAGTGGTGCATAAGGTATCTCTTGAAGGAACTGAGGAAATTCTGTGAGGCAGAGGCGAGGCAGGATTGTGTTCCAGGTATATCAGCCATTGCAAAGGCCCAGAGAGAAGGCCAGTTTGGCTGGACCAGAGAGTACAGAAATGGAAGCAGTAGATGATAGGGCTGGAAAGATAGGTTGGACTGTGTGGAGATCTTTAAAAGGCAAACAGAGGGATTTGTATTTATCATAGAGGTAGTAAGGAAGCACTGAAGTTTATTGGGTAGAGTCAGTCATATATGTAGTTAAGAAAACTATTTTTGGTACTCCTGTGGAGAATAGTTGGAATAGGGAGAAACTAGGGGCAAGAGAACCGGTTAAGAGGCTATTATAAAATAGTACAAGTGAGAAGATATGAGAGGTTGAGTGAAGGCAGTAGTTGTGGTGGTTAGTAATGAGAAGGAGTCAGATGCAGGAGATGTGGTCATCTTATTATATTCATTTTAGTAATAATAATAACAGCTAAAATTTATATAGGACTTATCATGTGAGAGACACTGTGCTAAGCACTTTACAATTATCTTGTTTGATCCTCAAGACAACCCTGGGAAGTAGGTGCTATTATTATCCCCTTTTAACCATGGAGGAAACTGAGACAGAGGTTAAGGGTCACACTCAAAATTGAATAGGACTGTTTAGCTCTTAGCATTATTTCTTTGTAGCAGAAACATTAATAACCCCTTTTTCTTTATTCCCACTAGGGTCTAATATATCTTATTTGACTCTTACAATTGGGTTTAAAAAACACTTGAGCACAACTTTAACCATTAATACAAAACGAATATTTAATTAAATGATGTTTGCAAGTAGTTACTTAGCTACAGCTAAAATGTTCCTAGCATTGTTTCTAATCAGACATTGCAGGTATTCTAACTGGCTCTTTTGGATGGAATATGGAGTTTGCCTTCTACTTTTGGTGCTTTCACTGACAGGGATTATTTAAACTTTTGCAGCTTATTCAGTGTATTTCAGCATGTTCTTAAAGGGGTAGGAACACTGTGGAGTCAACGCCTACAAAGGAGCCCTTTTGGGGATGACCTTCTGTGTCCAAGAGACTTCCATCTTAGTTTCACCTTTTTCTTTAGTAGGCCCACTAGGAAGTCATCCATGTTTCTTACCAATGGAAAGAGGTTAAGAAAAGCTCCTAAAATTTTCCTTGTGAATAATCTCCATAACTGAAAGCATGAGAGAGGCTACAAAAATATGGAGAATGTTTTGCCCATAACAGGTTTTTTATCAGAAATCTTAATTCATTTGACAGCTGCTGATACAGGATTTTCATTGATTGCCCAATCTTTTCTGTGAAGTAGAGTGGTACTTAGCAGAACAATGTACCTGTACTTAAGTGCCTCACACATCAGTTTCCTTATGAAAGATGAAAATAATATCCAATCAACCCTAACAGTTCTAAGGGTCAAATGAGATCTCTCAGAACAATAAAATGTGCAAGTTGGAAGGGATCTCAGTGGATATCTTGTTCCACCCATATCCACATGAGTCCCCCTGCCCCCTAAAATATCGAATAAGCAGCCATCCAAACTTTGCATAAAGACCTCCATTGATGGAGTTCTACTACCTCTCAAGGAAGCCCATTACTCTGCTCAGCTGTAACAGAAAGTTTTGCCTTACAATAAGCCTAAATTGGAATTTTTGCACCTTCTATCCACTTTCCTTAGTTCCATCCCCTAAGGTTTTATGGAACATATATGTCTAAGTGGTTTGTAAAGTGTGAAGAGATATACAAATGATAGCTTATAATAATATGGCATTTTAAGGTTGACAAAGCACTTTATATATTCGTTATTGTATCTGATCTTCATTAACAACCTTTTAGGAAGGTACTGCAATGATAGAGGCTCAGAGATGTTAAATGACTTGCCCGAAGTTATACAGCTTCCACAGAGTGAAAAAGCTAGCACTGGAATCTAGATCTTTTGACTTCAAGTCCAGTGTTTTTTCCTCTGTGCCATATATTTTGTTTGCCTTTACCTACTCATTGAAAGTTCCTGTAGAAGAATTTTTAAGCTACTGATAATTATACAAATAGCTAGCATTTATATAGCATTGTGAGATTTGCAAAGCATTTAAAAAATATTATCTCATTTTATCATCACAACAATCTTGGGATATAGGAACTACTATCATTTTACAGATGAAACTGAGGCAGATAGGGGTGAAGTGACTTGTCCAGGATCACACAGCTAATAAGTGCCTGAGGCAGCATTCGAACTCAGGTCTTAGGGCAACAAATTTAGGGAATTTAAGTTAAGTCAACATGAATTATCAAGTGTTTGTTCAATA